TCGTGAAATTAGAAATTACCTCAACGCAACATTTGGTGATAGGTGGAGTGGGCGAGGCGGACCACACTTATGGGCACCTAGGTTACCAAATCTTAACCCCCTTGACTTCTTCTTGTGGGGCTTCCTAGAAGAATTGGTGTATTCAACTTTGGTTTATACAAGAGAAGAGTTGATGGCAAGAATACATTTTAGTGAAATTAAACAGAATCCACAAATGCTATTTAGAGTGCAACAAAATAATCTTAAAAGAATAAGAAGTGCATTGAACTAGATGGAGGACATATCGAGCATTTACTGAAGTAACCTCTTTTAATCCATATGTTTCATTCTTAACTTTTTTCTGTTGCGTTGTGTCCCCGGTTGTGGCTATACACAAAATACAAAAATTTAATTATTTTGACAACCGTTAATTTTTTCATAAGTCGTGAAGTATACCTTTTTTGTAGAAAAGAAACAGGGCTATCTGCCTGCGAGGGCGAAATGTCAAATTTGACAGCTCTGTCAAAGTTGCGTAAATTTTAGAACATAATTTCGACCGTCCTTGTATAATAAAAAATATTTGATTAAATTTTAAATGTACAAAGATACATTTGAATGAGTTGCTTTGATCTTCCAAATTTCAAGTTACCCTTTAGAAATTATGGGCAATATTCATTTTTCAACTTCTTACTTTGAGTGACAATAACTCAACAATGGCATCTAGGTAAAAAGTTTATATGAAGTACTAGCACTCGTTTGACATGCTCTATATAACCCGTATTTTTCCCCGTAGTTACCGGATACCCTGTATAACAAAATAAATTTTAATGAGAATACATTTTTATTATTTTTTAAAACCATTTAATATGTTCCTTGTCCATGTGGTAAGAGATTGATTTTGTATGTAATCATAAGTTTTCATCACATTGATTTTTATTGACAATTTAGTTTTAGAAGAAAATTTGTTAGAATTAGGAAATTACTGATAATGTATGTATTATGTACTTTACATTAAAAACTATCTTTCTGTTCATATAACTGCATGCAAAGCTTTTGTGTCGAATATATTTTTAAAGGTTATATTATGTCAAGTATGTTACATAAGTTATATTAGTGTTGTGGATCCTTGGAAGATAAGTTGCTTTCGCCTCGTTTGCGACGTACCTTATAAAGGGTAGGAAGTCTTGATTTGACAAAAATGAAAAATTTAGATATTTTAAAATTAATCATTGTCATTATACAGGTTGTCCTAAACAGATTTGTACATTGCTCAATCACAGACTCCCGAAATCAGTGTATTTAAATGGAGGGGCACAAATGATACCAGAGATTCCTTACCTGAACTGTTATTTCATATGAGATTTCTTTAATGCAGGGTTTAAATAATCTCACATGCACAAGAAAATGTGTTTTTAATAAATACACCGAAAAAACAATTAAATAGAAATTATGCAACAAGTGTATTCACACATGCTAAAATAATACGCAAAAAGAGTAAAGTAAATTTAAAACGGGAAAAATAATGTTGTCTCAGTTGATTCCTGCGCCCCCTTTTGGTCGAATTTTTAAATGCAGATACACAACTACTAAGTACTATGAGGCATTGCGTTCTGAATTTATTAACAAAAGTGTCTGTTTGTACCTGGGTATTCGTGGAGGTATAAATCTGTAACACTAATTTATGAAATTAAAAATATCCTCAACGGTTGGCTTTAGCCATTTTCAATAAGTACATATACCTTTTTTGTTAAAAAAGTCCAATATTTCATATTTTGTTACTAAAAGTTGCGTACGGGGGTTGGCAAAAAAGTTACTACATATTCAATGCATAACATTGCCTGCAGAGGGCGCCTCCTACTCGACACTCAAAAATCATTATTATATTATTTTTCCCATCATTAAAAAAACCTCCCTGTTGAAAATTTGAAACAGTTTTTCTGACTAAAATTATAGAAATTATTAAGAAAAAATCATTTTTTATTTTTCACTTTGACATCCTGTATCTTTTTTATTGTGCGACTTGGAATATAGGTATGTTAGGTTAAATCGACTTATTTTCACCCAAGGAATCTCTGTTATTATTTGTGCCCCTCCATTTAAATACATCCTGTATAGGTGTTCTGTAAAGACTATGGTATAGTTCGAGTACATCTTTTGGTGAAACTAACTTAAATCTTAATTTGGTACAATTTCTTTGAAAAATTTAGTCGTTTATTTTCTGCCGTATTTTTTTGTTGGTCAAGATTTTGAGGAAACAGCTTTCAGTAATTTATATCTGCAGTAAAAAATTGAAATTCATTTATTTTTCTCTTGAATAGTAGACTTCAGCCACTCCTAAAACCCCTCATGTCAGATTTCATTGAAATTATCTTAAAAAATGATGGAGTTAATTTTGACAGATATTTTTATATTTGGAAATAATTCTTTGCAGAAGAAAATGTTTATACATGGTTTCAAAACTTTTGTAAATATGATATACTTTTTTTACATAAGAAATATCTAGCTAATATGTTTTTTTTAAATAAATACAGTTTAGTGGTGCCACATTTAGTAGAAGTTGACTTTCCATAGAGGGAAGTTGGTCTAAATTTTCGTATATTGATCCCAAAGTCGTTGTTCCAATCTTTTTGGTTAGGTATATAAAAATGCAAAAGTATCCTGAAACCCAGCGCAAATGCTAGGCTATTTAAGACGAGTTAACTAGCATACCAGATATGTCATTCTATCTTTATTGATTGTATTATAGAAGTTAAGACTTATTTGTACATACCCAGATTTTTGGTGGGTCATTAGTAACCTCATTTAAAAATAAAGATAGTAATTTGGTGAAGATGAGAGTTTAAGATTACTTATGGATTTCATCTAAGTACATGCTTAGCATAGTAATATCTATCAATGTCAGAGTTTATCACTCCCACAGCTATCATTCATATGCAACCCAATTCTACTTCTAAACCAAAACAGAACTCTGTAGTGGTTCACTTTAAAATTTGTTTACAAGCAATCTATTATTATTATTTTGATTTAAATTTTTTTTTTTCCAAAAGTATCTCGTATATATATATTTTAATTTCCCTTAGTCTTCATGCATTAACTTTTTTAGTGGAGTGGATGGATTGTAGTTATGTACTTTTGGCATGTGTAAAAAGCAGAGCACCAATCCTTCCTAGTTAATAGGAAAGCAACAATTGTCATGGAGATAGAAAATAGTGGCATGTTTACTGTATATTTTCAAGTAATTCTATTAATACATGATATATTTCAAATGTTGTTTTTTTTTCTCAGGAAAAATTCTTTTGTGAACAAAGTAAATTTAAATATCTACATATTTGAATCACAGTTATATGTTTCATTAATAGAGCTATATGGTAAATGTTTATCACAACTTACTATCCATCATTTAGATGTCTTTGAGAAAATACATTTTTATAATTTCAAGATTGAGAGAAATAAACAGATCTCTGTTTATTGCACACCTTTTGTGTGAACTTTAAAATTTTATTATTTATAGTAAAATATTCCTTTAATAAAAATTGAACTTAATCCTTATTGCAATATTTTTTTTTTTGTGTTTGTAATTTAAACACTTCTTTAGCAATAATTGTCTTCTATTTAATTTTATCGACAATAGTTGTTACAACAGTACTTAAAATTTTAATTTACGTTGTTATGTTTATTATGCTGTAAATTTTATCTTGGAAAAAAGTAGATAAGAAGTAACCGAAAATTAAATTAAGCATGGAAAAAATTTATTGATGTTCCATTTTATTTATTAATACTGTCTGTTTCACTTAAGAATACATGGTAGCATGAGTATTATTTCAGTTTTAAAAATTGATTAAACTAAAAAAAAATTGCCCGAAAGTAAGCACTCTTGAATGGTGCTTTTAATCTTGTAATTTCCATAGGCGATTAAATAAATGGAATTTTACAAAGACATGTTCTTTTTTTAATAACTTCAAGATTATAATAACTTGTGGTTATTGCCATTAAAAGGTTACTAACGTTTTAGGTTTTAGTTGACTATAGTCTACTTTTTTCTTATGACTGGTATTTCAATTAAGGGTGTTGAAAAATGTCATCATATAACGCCCAAAACGCTTCGAAATGTTCCTTCAGAAGTGGAACAAAGATTTTATTATTGTATGAAAGTAGTGAGAAACCCATTTGAACATTTAATAAAATAACATTATTTCATTTATTGATATAAAGCCGTATGTCATCCTGAGCAACATTGAAAAGGTTTTAAAATGACGTGTCACTCAACATATGGTGCCATTTAATGTTAAGAATATTTTACGCCCCTGCCTAAGAGGTAGCTTCCAAGACACCAAAACTTATGCCATTACTTTTCCTCCTTGACAAGAAAATCAACATCAGGTTTTTTTGTTTTTTTTTTTAATTCCGATATTTTCCAGGCAGGAAGTTTTAATTGGAACACCCTTTATTTTATTTTTTCTAATTACCTTTTAATAATTATTTTAATTTAGTTAATAATTGTACCTTAGTACTTATGTTTTAAGTAGCATTGCAACAAATAAAAATATTCAAACGTGGAAAAATATTCAGTGATAACATGATTTTGACAACTGTTTATTTTCTAAATTAGTTGTGTAAATGTTAGTGTTTTATTATGGAAACCATGGGAAATTATTTTTTTGTTCAAATTTAAGTGAAAAACTCCATTATAATTCCAAAAAGAGACTTGGAAAGTATGTTGACTACTGCTAACCAAAATCTGGAAATTGTAATGATTTATATAACTAAAATTTTCAATTTTCTGTTTTCAACTATTATACTATTTAAATTAATTATTTTTGCATAACTTTTTTTATACCTTTTACTGTTTACGTATAATTTTCTTTAAACCAAGTCCTATATAAATATAATCTAAGCATATTAGTAACTTATTATAAAAACATATAGTTTAATATTTATATATTCTTGATGGTAAAACAAAATGTTATTGAATAAATATTGCTGACTTTTGTTTGTATTTATATAATGTTTTTTTTTTCCAGCCGCCTCAATGTAATTTGAAATGAAACGTTTGCGTGTGGATGAGACTGTGAAGGATCGAAGTGGACCCCCGCTATCTGGTGCTCTGTACCGTCAGTCTTTAAGCAACACTGCACCAGCATTGTCCTATTCCAGTGGGAGCACTGTGAAAGTGGTCGGTGAAGGTATGCAGTCTGGACTTTATCCACCACCACCTCCTGTCAGTTACGGTGCCATGCCAACTGCAGCTGCTCCTCACCTCTCTGTCAGTAGCCATTCCCAGCTACGCACTAGTGGCAATTCTTCACCTAGTGCAAACCTTCAAGAGTCATCGCAACAGCAGCAGTCTCCCAGCAGCAACTTCCAACGATTGAAGGTTGAGGATGCCCTCTCTTATCTGGATCTGGTCAAGTTTAAGTTTGGCTCAACGCCACAAGTGTACAATGACTTTTTAGATATTATGAAAGAGTTTAAGAGTCAGAGCATTGACACGCCAGGTGTCATTCAAAGAGTCTCCAATCTGTTCAAGGGATACCCTGAATTAATAGTAGGTTTCAATACTTTTCTGCCTCCGGGTTATAAAATTGAGGTCCAACGTAGCGACCAGGGCTATGCATTTCAAGTATCAGTCAGCATGCCTAGCCCTACTGGTACTATGAATTCAGATCCTCAACAGCAGAGATCAGCAATGATTTTGAAGGGTTCTGGCACGATAAATATGTCTGGCCAAAATCAACCACCGCCACCCAGTCAACCAGCATCCCAACCCCTGTCATTGACGCAGCACATACCTCCTGTGGCTCCACAAGCTCCTCCCGCAGCACCAGTAGTTCACCATCCTTCCACATATGGCAGCAGTGCTCCCACATATGGTCCTCTATCTTTATCTGCTGCCCAGGCTGCTGTTACACAAGCTCTGCAGGGTCACACAGACTCACCGCAGAATCAACCAGTTGAGTTCAACCATGCCATCAACTACGTCAATAAAATAAAGGTATGTTTGTTTGATTTCTAGGTCTAGTTTGTAATAATATAAAAAGTTTTAATTACCCCAATGTAGTTACAGGGTAAAGTATGTATACATAAATAAATTTTGTTCTTTTTTTTTTTTGTTACACGTATTAGTTTCTAAATTCAAGAAGTAAAGTCTCACTTTTAGTGGTCTACGGATTACTTGTACTTTTATTCCCTCGTAACAAAAACAAACAAATATATACAGGATAGTAGTCTTGAAGGGAGTATTCAGCACAAAACAAGAAAAAAGTTTCTATAAACAGTATTCGTAAATGCTTGTTTATTGAAGTATAAGCAAAATTTTTAAGATTATCAAATTAGCTTAAGACACTAATTGAAAAAAAGTCAGCTTAGAAGTACTTGTCAAAAATTTGACATGGTTCTACTGCCAAAGAAGGTAAGTTGTCAAAGTAATAACTGATGTTTTTGTGTTATACATGTTACAGCTTATATTCTAAAAGTATGCTGATATGCATTTAAGTTATGGAAAAGCAAAATGATAATGTGTGTGCAGCTATTCGACTGCATGCAGAGCGATATCCCAATAGGAAATTGCCACGCTATAGCAGCTTTATTGTTGTTAACCAACGTTTACAGGAAAGTGGTTTCTTTAAAACACGTAGAATCTGGGCGACATCGTACTGTACTGCAAGAAGGAATTCTTAATATAGGAAGAAAATTTTAGCCTCAGTACAAGACGCATGTCTGCGACTTTAGGTATTTGATATAATCAAGTGTGGTGAACTTTACTAGAGGAGTCCTATTGGATGACCCGCTCACACTCCGGATCTAAATCCACCAGATTTTTTTGTTTGGGGTCAACTAAAAAGTACGGTTTATGTGGAAGAAGGCAGCTTACAATGAAATTTGCAACAACCCTATAATATTTGAATGTGTGAGAACGTTTCTAAGGAGAGCTAAACGAAGGGAGTTCACATTTTGGAAATATGGTCTAGATACAATGATATAATGATCTTGATGAATTTTATGTTAAATTTCATGTGCTTTGCTAACATATATTTAGACATATGTTTATAGAAACTTTTTTTTTTGTTTTCCGCTGTATAATGCTCCCTCCAAGTTTGATGTTTATTTGTTACACCCTGTATACTAATGCAATTCAAATGATTGCTAAGGTCATAATCAGCTATTCACTTCTGTTTTTAAGTATGTATTTCTACAGTAAATTTCTTATAGTTGCAAACTCTATTACACAGACACGGTTGTGGACTATTTGCTAATGGTTGTCGCTTTTGTGCTGCAAGAAAGGTTGTTTAGTTTGCGTTTGACAATGATTTTACATGGAAAGAAAATTACAATAAATTCAACAGACGATTATTTGAGTTATTTTAAGGTAAAAAGTTCATATTCAATTGGTCTGCAGATGCAGGATGTTAAACTTTAAAAAAAATACTATTTCGTAAATATCTTTAAATACCCTTTACTCAATTTTGTTGTAATTTGGCAGTGTTATTTGTACTTATGTTATTTAGATGTTACATATTATTAATAAAAAAGTATAAAAAAAAATGATAATTTCCAAAAGAAACTTTTCCCCATGTTTCCTGTTTGGTCCAGGGATATGCAATTGTGGGTTTTATTTTCTACAAAAATTAATCAAGACACGAAAAGTATTCAAGAGAGAAAAAAGTTGTATTTTAAGTTGTTTAATAAAAAAATATGTAAAAATTACATAAAAGTCAGTGGCATAAATTTTTTTTTGTCTAAAATATTTGTTAAGGTACCGCCACTGGACTTAATAAATCTAATCAAGTTAGGGTTAAATTAGCCCCTTAACACTAGAAATAACACTGCCAAATTACAACAAAATTGGGTAAAGGGGCTATTTAGGAAATAGAAATTTTTTTACAAAAGTTTAATACCCTGTATCTTCAAAACAAAGAACCTGCGGACCAATGTTTATATGAACTTTTTGTCTTAAAATGACTCAAATAATCATATGCTGAATTTATGTACATACTTAATTAACACCCTGTATAAATCTCAAATCTGTCGTTGACTAGTTGGAGTAGGGATTTTTTGCTTTTGTTGTAATTACAGATTATCAGAGTGGTTGTTCTTGAATGTCAAATAGGGTAGAGGAAAAAAAGAATTATTCTAATTTACAATACCACTAAGGCAACTACGATTTTAATCCTAATCCATATTTTTTACTTAATTTTAATATTTAAAAAAGAAAACATGAATCTTAAGTAAAAATATTCAATATATTAGTATAAGAGTTGATGAAGCAGTCAATATCAGACAACTTTGATTACTAATTAATGTGCATGTCTCAGATTGGCAGTCCTGTAAAGCTGGCACCCCAACGTTTGAATTTATTAAAAATTATTAATGTCCATTTCACAAAATAGCAGCAATTCTGTATTGTGTTTGAATAGTTCAACTATTGTAACCATTAAAAAATGATAAGGATGGCACTCAAACGTATTGTTATCTATAGAAAAATGTTTTTTTAAATAATTTGAGTAATTATACTTCCAGTTTTTTTATCTTCTGCGGTTCAGATCTGGACCGCGGTCCACCAGCTGCCGACCACTGTTCTAGTATATGTAATTGTATAGATATCGAATTTAATTCATTTATGCAGTTTTTGATAATTTTGAAGTGGGAAGTCTGACATTGTACTCGAATATGTATGTCCACTTTTTCATAAAAAACGTGTTGCTGTAGCTGCTATAGTTTTAGAGATATATTTAATTTAAGAGTTTTACAAAAATTCGATAAAGAAGTTCTGAATAAAGTAGCTGCAGATCTGCATTGTATGTGAATAATTCTATTACTTCTTGTAAGCTGTGCCTCTCAAGTCGCTCCATTTGAAAAAGATTAAACTTTAAGCAGTTTTAGGATTTTCAATAAAGGGGCTTTGTATTTTAATTTTTATATTTTAAGCAAGTATTGTTTTTTTAACAAACTATAAAATAATCCTAAATTGCAAATTTGACATCTACTTCATATCTGTCCCTTGGTTTTATGCCCCAATAAAACAAAGCCCCTTGAAAAAAAATCATATCAGTACCCTAAAAAATTACTGCACATAAAATTCAATCTATAATACTAACATACAAATACTAATAACGAGCGTTGAAATAAAAACATGGTCAAGTTGGTTCTGAAAATTTGGACGTAGGGCGTAGCGTATAGCAAATGAACTTAAACGTCATCTGTCAAAGCGCTATATCGCCGCTATCAATTTGAATATATTCGTTTTAAAAAATGTTTAAAATGGTGTTTTCTCAAGAACAAAAAGTGTTTATCATAGAGTCCTACTTTAGAAATGGACGCAAGATTGATGGAATATGGAAGTATTCTATTGAGGAATGTTTCATAGAATTTCAAAATCAATTTCCCGGCGTTGTTGAGTACAAAATTTTTCAAAGTGCAGTTCAGCGTTGTGTTAATGTTTTTCGTGAAACGGGCAGTGTAACAAGAAAAGAAGGAAGCGGCCGACCTAAAAAGCGGACTGAAGAATTAAAAGAAAATGTCCAACAAATAATGGAAAATGCGCCAAGAACTTCTGTACGTGTTTTATCACAAATGGTGGGAGTATCAGTCGGTACCTGCCACACAGTGTTAAAAAAAGATTTGCGTTTGTTCTCCTATCGTTTAACTTGTCAGCAAGAACTTCATGAAGTTGATTTTCCGCGACGGGCTGTATTTTGTGAATGGTTTTTAAACAACTACGGTGAACTTCATAATATCACCTTTTTTTCTGATGAAGCCTGGTTTCATTTAAGTGGTTACGTAAACTCACAGAATATGAGAATGTGGTCTTCTGAAAAACCAGATAACTTTTTTGTCGAGGGCCCTCTACACGCTCAAAAAATTGGAGTTTGGTGTGCTCTCAATCGAAGGAGGATTTATGGACCTATTTTTTTTAATGGTACTCTTACTGCGCAAAGGTATAGAGAAGAAATTATCGCTCCTTTTGTTAACCAGCTGGAAGAAAACGAAATTACAAACTTTTACTTTCAACAAGATGGCGCAAGGGCACATACGGCAGGCGAGACGATGAATATGTTGAGGGAAGTTTTCCAAAATCGACTAATAAGTCTCAATGCTGAACATGAATTTCCACCGAGGTCATGTGATATTACGCCGTGTGATTTCTTTTTGTGGCCTTACCTTAAAAACACTATTTTTGAACTGCCTATTCCTGATTTAAACCATCTGCAGGCTCGACTTATAGACAAGATTCGTGAAATTAACAATACCCCGAGCATCTTAGAAAATGTCTTTAATTCTTTGAGGAACAGGTGTGAAAAGTGCTTGGAACAAGGAGGGGGACACTTTCAGCAGCTGCTTTAATTTATTGTTATAACAAGGAGGGGGACACTTTCCGCAGCTCCTTTAATTGTTTGTTATTGTTATCACGATTATTCTTTAAAATAAAGTTATATAGTCATTAACGTTATTGAAACTGACAGCTGCTATACAGCTCGTTGAGAAATGAGGTTAAGTTGGTCGCTATAAGCTACTCCCTACGTCCAATGTGTCAGAGCCAACTTCGACCACGTTTTTATTTGAACGCTCGTTATATTCAGCAAAACATTGGCTTAAGTATTTGAAGCCGAGTTTCAGTAATTTTAACTACTCTTATGCTATTCATATAAAAGTATTTCAAATATATATGTTTATTTTAATGTTCTAATATAGAATTTAGAAGGAATGTATGGAGCTATTTATTTAACTAAATATTTAATTTTAATAATTTTCTCCAGAACTTCCTGTTTCAAAATTTTCAATAACTTCTTAAATTCGATATCCCACAATTACAGGAATATTAAATTTAATCAAGCACCTATGCAGAACTGCTGTTACTTTCACCAAAACTCCCTGTTTCAAAATTCTCAAAAACTGCTTAAATTAATTAAATTCGATATCCACAACTGGATCGGTCAGAGCGACATAGTACAAAATAATACAACTATTTAAGTGCAATGCAGAACTGCTATTTTC